TTCTCAGGGCTTATACTTCAGGACATAGGGTTTGCTCAGATTGCTTCCAAGTTTCTACCTGAACTTAATTTTTAGTTTTATATGTTCAGATTCTTTATGGATTATTATATTTGAGTGGACTTAGTACCCATTTCTGTAAAGTTCTGATCATTTTCTAAGCTTCTCTGTCTGTTTTCTCCTTTCCTCTTCTTTGATGAGAGGAGATACCTGCTCCCCAGCCTGCTTAGACTTTCTCGTTACCGTTTATGTCACAGAATTTGAAAAAGAGAACGGACCATGGCATCTGTACAGAAGTCAACCCCTGTCTCTGTCTCCTGGCTCTTCCCGCGCTAACACTGCACGCACTGCGTGTGTTACTGTAACCATTATTTTTGTTGGGTGTTTTTCCTCTTTATTGTAAAGGTGGTGATTTACTTAGTCAACATGTTAAGAGAAAAGACAAGAAACCACCTAGCACTGCCATTAACTTATTTCTCATTCATTTTATTTTTTATACAAATAGTATAAACAGAAAAATTTTAAATGCAGGTGAGCAAAGAAGAAAAAGTAGAATTCACTTCTGTTTTCTCAGCCGGGTATAGCAACTGTTAATAATTCAGTTTATAGCCTCGTAGATCATTTCTATGTATGTAAATATTTATCTTTTCTTAAAAATGGGATTATATTTAATTGATTGTTTTGTAATTTGATTTGTTTAATACTTAACGTAGCATGAATATTTTCTATGCCATTAGAGTTTGATAATATAAATAGCAAATATAGTTTACTACATACCAGACACCAGACTATTTTTTATATATTAACCCATTTTATCCTCACAACATGCTATATGTTGGGTGGTTTTATTACTCCCATTTTATAGGTAAAAAACTGAGGCATGAGGAGATGAGATAAACTAAGGTCACACAGCTAGTGAGTGACCGAGCTCGGTTTTGAACCAAGACAGTCTAGTCCAGAGGCCATGCTCTCGACCACACGCTCTGATCCACACCATCATTGTCATAGCTATAGTATATGATCATTTATCCAACCATCGTTACACACAAAGCAGCATGAATAGCTTGTTCATATGTTCATCTTTGTTCACGCGTTCACTGACAACCTTAGGTTGAATTCCCGTGAACGGAATCGCTAAGTCAAAGAGTTTATATATTTTTTAGAGTTTGGATACACAGTAGTCAATATTTGTAAGCACTGTCTTTTCTAAGCCTTTTTTAACCCTTATCATTCATTGTTTCTTTCACAAAATGCATGACTGTCTTCTGGACTCGATCATTTTTTTCTTAGAACATGGAGCTTCTATTCCACCTCCTCTCCCTTCCTTCGGCATTATACCCATTTCTCTCAACTGTTTGACAAAATAAAGCCCTTTCCGAACGCATCAGGCCTGACACTGTCAATAATCCCAGTGTCTTGTACCTCCTGGACTTTCGCCATCAGATGAGTGTATAAGCAAAGATGGATGCTGTTAATTTGACTTGATGTCAATTTTCTACGCTATTAATTCTCTTGTTTTCCTCTCCATTTTATTTTTTCTTTTAAGCTTCACAAGAAGTGAACAAATCTGTCATATATTTTTTTTCTTGATTTCAATATATGTAAATGAGGTGGCCCGCCTGGCAAAGATGCCGAATATGTCAGAGGCCTGGAGGGCTGAGCTCCCTACTCTGGTTTTTATGACCTTGAGAAAGCCACTTAATTGACTGCACTTTATTTTCCTTATTTGCCAAATGAGGAAGGTGGACTAAATGACCCAGAAAACCAAATCCAGATTTTTTTTTTTTAAGTGTCAGGCTATCCACGAGTATACTAGATTTCTGAAAAATTTTGTGTGAAATCATGGCAAATGCGCATGTGTGTGAGGCAGTGTTGGAGGCAGCTATAGATTTGTTTCAACATATTAAAACTATTTTGTGCCTTGTCTCTGGACCAAGGCCTCCTAACAGTGCACTTCAGTGGTTTGGGAAACGTGTCTCTGAGACCAAGGTAATTATAGTTGTTCCACTGAAGCATGACCAATGGCCTCTCACTCTGATTTCTTTTATGGGAAAGAAAATCCTTCCATGACAACAGCACTGGAACTAATTACAGGCTCCAGATCTGGGGGCGAGAACAGAGATAATCACTGGCTGTGGTCAAGGGAGAGAAGGCAAGAGCATGAACCCACTTAGGAAGAGCCGGGACAGGGTGATGTAATAATGACAACATTCGTGGGACTTCACTGAGAACTTGCTATTTGCCAGGTGCTGTCCCAAGAACTTTATATACATCATCATCACGCTGAATTCCCACAATAACCCTAAGAGAAAGGTCATGGGGCAGGTACTTGTATTTTTTCTGTTTTGTGAAGATGAGTTTTGGGAGGCTCTTAAAAGAAGCTAAGTAACCGCTCCAAGTCAGTTGTCAGAGGTAAGATGTGAACCGGAAAGCTTTTTCATTTATTTAATACACACATTTTGAGTGACTGGTTTATGCCAGGCGCCCTCCCGGTGATGCACAGGCCAACTTCTGCTCACGTGAAATTCGGCTAATAGTGGGATGAGACCAGTGATAATAAGACAACACATCAGTAAGGAATTTCAGATGGTGATAAGTGCTATGACGGGGAGGAGGTGGGGTTGAGGGAAGGCTACTTTACACAGATTGACAGGGAAGGCCCCCCAGAGGTGACATTTGAGCTGAGCCCTACACAATGGAGCATGTCAGCCATGCAGAGCCCTACTAGAGAGCCTTTGACCTGGAGGGCCCACACGAGCAGAGGCGGGGGCTCAGGAGAGCTTGTCTTACAGAAACAGAGAAGGGCAGTGTGGTTGGATGACAAATGAAGAAGGGGGACATGTCGCGATGGAGTCAAGAGGTGGACCGAGACCAGATGACACGGGGCCACAGGATGCTACTCCAAATGCAGAGGGAAGACAGTGGGCAGTTCAGCAGGGGCCTATATTCTCCAGTCTCTATCGGCGGCTTTCTTCACTCTGATGTGTCGCCAATGAGGAGAAACTGGAACGTGATCAATTGTTTACATACAGGGCAGCCTAAATGAAAGTTAGAAAGTTCAGAGCCAGTGTTTCAGATGAAGCAAAAGTCTAGGTTTTTCACAGAACAACAAGACTGTAATGGACAGTGATGGGTCATCTGATGTGAGCTTCTGACTTTAGGTAAGGAGACCTTAGGAAATCCAAGCTGAGCATCTGAACTGTATTTTAAACCTGCATAGAGGAGACTACTTCTTTGGGAGAACTTTCCTCAAAATGCAGAAAGTTTCACTCTAGGTTTTGACCATTCTTGACCATTCTTGGTTAGGGGTTGTACTTGCCTCATGGAATAAACGCAATATAACAAGACATTTCAGCTTTGGGTAAATGACACCTCAGGGACTTACATCTATGCAATTTGGGGTGTGTGTGTGTTCGTCTTTATCTTTGGAAAAAGTTTTCGAAGGTGTCATCAATATTAACATATAAGATCTGGCTTTCTGGTAAGGTGACATTGTATAAATTGTTCTAGACTTTTATTGTAAACTTGGCAACTTAATTTTTTTGACTGTTCTTTATAAACACTCATGTTAACCCATTAACATTGGTTTATGTAACATAGGATGAGATTAATTGCTTTTATAGGTTAAAAGCTCACTATTTTAAGATATGGTTCTCTAACTTTAACTGAAGTGTTAAGAGTTTTGTTTTGGCTCAGCAAACTAAGTTTGAATAACAACCTAAACCCTCACGAGTACACAGTATTTGTGCACGCACGAGTGTGTGTGTGTGTGTGTGTGTGTGTGTGTGTGTGGCTGACTCCCCATCAGTAGGTTTCTGATGGTGCAGGCCTAACAGTACAGTGCAGATTAATTTGAATGAAACCACCTTTGGAGGCATTTAGTTGCCTCTGTGATAGGTTGAGCCCCAGAGAGAAGATATTAATTGTGGAAGAATTTAATTTAAGCTAGACATGTGTCATTGAGTGGGATTTGGGAACGCTCATCATTTTGAGTTAGGTTTTATTTATAAGTAACTTATTTGTCTCTCAGGAGGGGAAATATTCCTCCTACTATCTTAGGCCCGAGGGTGGAGAGTTCTGTTCCTTTGCTGGTGTGACAGCAGCGCGGGACAGGGACAGCGAGAGGGCGGCTGGCGGAGGCAGAGCGTCCGTGCAGGTGCTGAACGAGAGCGCACCTGAGGTTCCCGGCTCCACCGCGTGTCCACCGTGTGTGCCGGCAGAGGTGTTGCCCTCGGGCTGTTCGAGCTGGAGCAGGTCTCATGGGGCCTGAGCTGGGAGCCCGGAGGACTCTAATAATTCCGTCACAATTAGAAATTCAGCTGTCAGCCCCCTGGGACTGTCAAGTCAACGGAAAAGAGATTGTCTACCATTGTCTGTCTTTTAAGTTGATGAATAACAATTTCATCCGCTCGCTCTGACACTTCTGACGCAGAGAGGTTTCGGCAATGCCCGACGTCAGGGACTGGAGCGAGGAGAGCACGCGATTCCCACGGAATCGCCCGTGTCTCCGCTGTCAGAACCAGTCTGCTCGGCCTGGCGGAGCTGCAAGGCCTCCCAGGCCTAATATCTCACACACTTGCCACTTTGCGCCTGGCCCTCGACTCGTAATAAATGGGCTCAAGGTCTGATTGGAAACTGAGATAAATTATACGTTTATTACGCCAAGTTAAGTCAACAGTGTTTGAAAGGATTACTGGAGGGTACAATCAAGTTAATTGCTTTAAAAATCTCTTTTGATTTACTGGGCTCTATGAAAATGGTTAAGCAATTGATTCGGCCGTGGAAAGTGATCTGAAGAAGGTGGCGTTGGGTCCCCGGGGTTGCCTTGCACATTTCGTCCCTTGCACATTTCGTCCCTGGCATCTGGAACTGTCCCGAGATGCCCGGAGGGGCCCCGAGACCGAATGCAAACTCTGCTGACAGACTGTTGTTCCTCCACAGGAGACACATGTTGACAGTTTGATGGTCAGGCTGACGGATGGGTTTCTTTCTTTTTATTCTAGATGCTGAAGAATACCAGCCTCCAATATGGAAATCGTACCGTGAGTACCTGAAATGCGAATCTCCCCGAAGTCTTTAGCAGGCCCGCCTGGGAGCCGTCCTGGCCGTTGGCTTCGTGCACACACAGTCCGGTCTCACGGCACTGAAACCGAACCTCTGTTCTTCCACTAAGGAGAGGCATTGGCCAGAGAGGTCTGCAAAGCGCTCTGCCCTGCCCAGGGCCCCCGAGAGCCAGCTGCCAGACCCACTCCGGGAATGCTTAGAAGAAAAAGATGCCTTTGATTAGGGCTTTCTTTCCTTTCTTCTTTTTTTATTCTTCCCCCCTCCCCCACGGTTGGTCTGCAAGGGAAAATGTGTTGAGTTCCTTGAATTATGTTCTTGGCTAATATCCTATGGCTATAAAATCCCATGACATTTAGCACAAACAAATTAACAGGTAGCAAAGAATAATGTTTGGTCACTAAGGGTGACTCCATAGAAACAGATCATTGTCCGATCATCAGTCACCATGTAGCTTTCCCTCCTGGGGGCAAACAGTTATCTTACCTGAAGCTCGTTGTCTCGTTCCGAATATCACCTACCTGGCTAAGTACTTCTCCAGTTAGAGACACCCAGAGTGTGGTAGGTGGAAGCCTACTGTGCGGAGAACCAGGGGGCACAGGTTCTCATTCTGCTTCTCGACAGCAATAAGAAAATAATTATGACTGTTGTTATCGATGTTGCTGCTGTTCCTGCTGCCCATAGAGACCAGCCGTGGGCCCGCAGTGCACTAGCTACGTGCCTGAACTCTCACATTCCCACTGCAGCCCTGAGCCAGGGTGCCAGTAGTATCCCTCTCTCATTCATGCACGGGAACCACAGCTCAGGGAGGTTCTGTAACTCGGCAAAGCTTTTACAAAAAGCCGTGGAGAGGCCTTCAGATTGGAACCCAGGAGCTAGCCTGTCCCGCAGCCTGCCAGTTTCCAAGACTTTTTCCTTTCTTTTTCAAATCTTATACATAAGTGCATATATAAATACATATAAGCATACACCAGACACATATATGCATATACTTATGTACGTATGTATTTGTTCCAAGGCAACACAGAGCTACATAAAAGATAAACATCACAGAAATACATAGAGCTGAGAGTACAAATTTCCTATCATCCATAAAACTACCCTCTCCCCCTAGTCTACTGCTCTTAACCAGTAAGTATCCCTTATCCCTCCAAGTATTTAAAATACGCATGCCCAGTATGAAGGCATTTTTGTTGCTGTTGCTTCCCTTTGTAAAAACAGGTTTATGCTATACTTGGTGTCCTTCAACTTGCTTGTTTCACGTCACAAATATCTTGTCTTATCTTTGCGTGTCAGCATATGTACAGGCATCTCATTCTTTATTACATGAGTCTGTTCTTCCATCTGTGAAATAAAGGGCTTGTGCTGGGTCTCCAAGGGCCCTTCCCGCCCACTGTTCTGCATTCTGATCTTCTATTTTAAAAGCCAGTGCTAATGACTTAGTAATTGGGTGTTTTTGTTTGTTTGTTTCCTAATGGAGTGTGAAGTGCTCTGATAATAAATCAACAAAATATCTATAGTGAGAGGCATTGGATGCTCTGTGACTTACCAGCCTGCAGTGCTGCCTTGCATACATTAACCACCCAATAACATTTGTGGAGTGAATGCCACCGCAGAGAGCTCTACTGAAGCGAGAAGATGCCATTGGCTGTTTCATCCCACCTTTTGCTAAGAGACCTTGGGTCACCCAATGTCGCTCTGAAAAACACTTCTATGTCCTAAGGAAGCTAGAAAAGACACTAATAATTACATGTTCATAATATCAACTTTTACCTTAGTATTTTTTAAGTTGATTTTTAGATCTAACCAAGTTGGGGTTTTATTTGTTCTAGAATCATAAAACTTCAGATGCAGAAGGGGTGGTTGAGGTCATTTAATATAAAGCTAATGACATAGACGAAGCTCCTCTTTATTACACCCAATTTATAGTCATCCAGGTTCTATTTGAGGGTGTCTAGTGATGTGGGATTCCAAAACCGAAGGGAGAAGGCCATCAGCGGTGCCAATCATGGCATCAAAAACTCGTCGACCAATGGCCTACAGAGCACCGCTGAGAAAGAACTCTTTGGTTTGTCCTGGATTCGGGAATCATTTGAATTTGGGTGTTGGATCACTGATTAACTCACCTGACAACGTTATTCCCAAGCTTGTGCTATTCCATCTTATTCCCAAGGTCAGCATCCACTCAATTAGTCTTTTAGCAAACATGCAGTGGGCACCTTCTGAATGTCAAGGTACATTAGGAATCAGCAATGAATGAAATATGGTTCCTACTTTCCTCCAATTTACAGTCTAGTAAGGGAGACAGATGTAAACCACTTAACTTAAAATGCAAATGGATTTTAGTAATAATATACTCCTCTACCCCAACTTTATAGGAGAGGTTAAGTTTGCACATGGATCTTGAAGAATAAGTAGGGGAAGGAATCTGAGGGCCTAGCAGAACTTCATGAGATATGTTTTAATCTCCAAATATGTTAAAACTATAGCATTTTCTTTATCTGAAAGTCCAACAAACCTACCAGAATATGAAATGTGTTTTGTTTTAAATAACCTCTTGGCAAACACATTCTGAACCTCAGGAATCACCAAGCCTTTCTCTTTAAAATGCTCACAAACTGTCCTTTGAGAGACTAATTTTAAATATCAATGTCAGTCTCATTAGCATATTATTTATGGAATCCACATTTTCCCATCACACACATATTTTTTTAAATGCGGGCAATTATTTGGTATTTTGAAATATCTCATATAGTTACTGGTTGCAGTACATCTTTGCCATATTATAGGACTTGGTTTAAAAATTGATAGTTTTCAAACATTTTAGAAGTATATAGATATGTCTTTGTTTTCGTTCATCACCTATTGTTGGCCATAATTTTGACTTATTTGATATCAGGTTCTTATTATGAAGTATTAGCCCCAATCATGATATTTTTCCTAAAAGAATATTAGTCTCCTTCATAATGACCCACTTTAAAAAGCTGTTTTTAATACTAATTGCAATGCTCTTGGTTGCAAGTAACAGAGTAGTCCACTCATTCACATTGATTGACTTCAGCACAAAGTCCGGAGACGGGCTTCAGGGCGTGATTTGTTCCAGGCATTCAAAGAGCATTAAGAACCCCGCATGCCTCTCTTCCTTTCTCGGTCTCCTTTCCTAGGGTTGGCTCCACTATTAGTGAGCCCTTCTTTGTAATCCCAGAGAGCTGCCAATGGCATCAGGGGACCACGCTCATTACCGAGCAGTGAGCAGAGAGACAGTCGACTTTCTTCACTCCTCTAGCAGAGTGAACTGAGTCTCAGCCCTGACCTGAGTCATCAATGCTGACTCCATCGCTGTAGTCAGAGCTGGGATATGCTCCCTGCCCTAACCCAGTCAAACTCAGGAGAGATCAGTCCTGTATAATCCACGTGACTGAAACATCTGGAGTACTGTTGGAACAGGGAACAAGGAAATGGATGTTGGGAAGTCAACCACAAATGTCTGACTTAGAAATTTAGGAGAGTAAGGAACCTTAGAAATCAGCTCTCAATATTTTATATAAAGTACATCATTCATTCATTCATTCATTCATTCAACAAATGGATATTAAGTCTTAGCCTTAAAGCAGACAGTGGATTTGGAGCTGTGAGGCCACATGTATGGATAAGACTGGGTCTTGACTCAAAGAACCAAGGTGTCACATGATGCCCCGTAAGGTCCTGCCTTCTCTGCTCTCCTCCCTTTTTTAAAAGCTAATACTCTCATTTACTGGGCTGTTTCCATGAGAATAATCTTATCCCAAAGTGTCATGTATTTGCAGCCAGTCCTTAATTCTCAAAGCCAGACCCCAAAATGGTAATAAAGTACTGAGAAGAAAGCTATTGGTTTCAATTCTCAAAAAGAAAAGCTACTTTCAAGTTTGCTTAAAAAAAAAAAAGCCCACATTCTGAACTTTCAGCCAGAACTGTATGCCTTAATCAGGTAAGTTCAAAAGCCAACCACTGTGGGTATACTTTGACAGATTTTATTTTTTAAAAGGCAAATGCCAATTAAGCAGCAGGTGCTGTGGCCAACAGCTCTCGAAGGACACTCTACTGGGCAGCAGGTCAAGCAGTCATCGCTTGTGCCTGTTTTTCTAAAAAGGAGTTTGGAACCTCAAAGCCCTGTTCCACATGGCCCCTGCATCAGACTCACCTGGGGAGATATTTATGGTCACTGTTCATCAGCCTGCCCTAGATATCAGAATCAGAGGAGTGGGGATGGCGGATCTGCCATTTATCACACCCCACAGGTGCTTCTTGGGCTCACTAATGCCTGAGACCACCTCATTCCAGTGGACACAGCCTCCTCCTTGGGCTGTTCACAGTGCCATTAACAAGAAAAGGGCTCAATCCCCATGAAGACCGGACATTCTGTTGGCCAGGCAAGGTTTTCACACAACTGGTTGGAGGTGAGGTTGAGCTAAGAAGACATCGAAAGCATCTGCTATCTTCCTTAGAAAGAAGTGACTGTTAGAGGACATCTGTAGGGTCTCTTAGGAGACCGTGGGTCAGGACTGGGCTCTATCATCACCCAGGCCCCTGGCTGGACTTTAGTATTTACAGGGACTGGGCTGATTCTGTTACCCGAGGAGGGTGAGTGGAGTTTGCTTATTGAAGAAAAGGTGAAACATTCTGTCAGTGAGCTCTAGATTTATTTCTCCATCTGCTTCAGGTTTCTTGGAGAGCAGGGAATTCCCCCCCCCCCCTTTTTTTTTACCTCCACTTTCCTCAGTGACCACTCCCTACCCCACAGTCACCAAACAGTTAATTCCAGGGCTGGGAATTAGCTGGAACATACTTGGAATATTGCAGTAGAGGCAAATTCCATCATCTTGCCTCTTAGCTTATAGAATCACCCAAGAATAACATACAGTATTTTATTTTGCTTGTGAAATGTATTTGTTGAACAAAGAACATTCTAGAAATGTCTCTTGAAGACTATATGGCCTTTCAGTTTTATGAAATGTTCCTCAGAGACTTTTCTCACGGATGCTTGTTTTGCTGTAGCTAACCTGGAAAACAAGGGATGGAGGCCCTCCCCCGAAGCTAAGCTAGGTTTTAGGGCCCCATTATTTTATATGGCAGCCATTGCCATTGGCAGCCGTCTCATTGTCTCTAGAGAGACACATAATCCAGACGGCAGCCGGGCTTCTTGCCTATTTGTCGATTTCTGTTGGTTAGAACATCGCTGAGCAGACCTTGTGGGTCCTGAGATTTGCTCACTGAGACACACCGATTGGTTAATAATTATGCTGCTCAGGGACCAGGAAGCAGACATGGCATCCCTGGACTAACGGGTTTGCAGGGACCCCCTTAAAATCGCCCTGGGTTTGGACTATTTCTCGTCGTGAGACTGGTGAGCTACAGTATTCTTCTTTATTACATCTCCGGGGCTCCCTAGAGGACACAGCTACGGGCTTTGCCCGTTGACACAGGAGAGGAACTGTCCAGAATGCTCCTCTGCCGTAACCTGTGTGATTGTTCATGACGTCTCAATCTCTCATTCATAAAGTTTGTCATCAAGCCCTGTCGGTCCTCCTGTGCAATCAACTCACCTTCCCATCGGCATTCTGACCAGTGTTGGCATAATTCACACTTTCACCGTCTCCTGTGTGTCCACCTAAAATACTGTTCTCTCTCACTTCCCGGCCTCCATGGTCCCCACTCCGGTCCTTCCTTCAGTGAGGCACAGGGCAGTGGCCCGCACTCCGGGCTGTACATGGGAATCTCCCACACGGCTTTAAAAAGAACATGTCAGGGCCCCTTGCCAGACTGGCAGAGTGAGCATCTCCAGGGACGACGGATTCTGGGAATCTGTATTTTTATAACAGCTCCTTGGAGATTCTAATGCAAGCAGCCCCACTTGGGACCCCTCCACTCTCCACTTTAGGGACAAGCTAGGGAGGCTAAAAGAATACAGACCTTTAAATCTGCAAATTGGCCTTTAATTTTTTACTTCTTCATATCTGTGTGAACTTGAGCTCGGTCAAAGCTTGGCATATTTCCTACTTTATCAGTGAGAAGGCAATAGCAGTTATCTTGGGAGTTTGTTAGGAAGATCAAATGAGAACATACGGATAAAGGTGTCTAGCATGTAGCAGGTGTCTGGAAGATGGCAGCCTCCAGTATGCTGAATAATCTTATTATCATTGTCATTATTCAGAAACAGGTCAGGTCATGTCACCTCCCTGCTCAAAATACGTCACTGCCGCCCCCTTGCAGACAGAAGATCAGCCATGCTCCGTAGTGTGACCTTCAAGGTTCCGTTCCATGTGGCCTCCCCCACATCTACCCAGGCTGGTGCAACAGACGCACAGGACTCTCACTGACCAATCAGCACGTCATTCCCTTTCCCTTCCGGGGCTCTTTCCCCCACCCATCACCCCTTCTCTGTTCTCTGACCCTTCAAGGAGAGCTCCATGCCTCTCCCTCATTAGAGTGCTTAGCCCACTCTGGTTCTGTTTGCCCACATACCCCTCCCTCACTGGGTCAGTCTCCTTGAAGGCCTGGGTACAGTTCATTTGTTCACCAAATTGCAGTGAGCATCTTCTGGGTGCCACGTACTTCTCTAGGTCCTGGGGCACCCCAGGGAACAGAGTAAAGCCCCTGCCCTCAAAGAGCTTACCTTGTCGTCAAGGGAGACAAAATGCAAAATAAGGCGTGTTGATGGCGATGTGTACTGTGAAGAAACATGAAACAGTATAAAGGAGCAGAGTGATGGGATGGAATTATATCCCCAATTCAGGAAGACCTGAATGAAGGGAGAGGGGAAGCCATATAGATATCTTGGGAAGGAGCAATCTAGGTGGAGAAAATACCAAGTGCAAAGGCCCCGAGGCCTAAGAAAAATAAACCAGTGCTGTGGAATAAAAAAGATACATTTAGCTGGATGCCCTGGGACAAATATTTAATTTCCTTACTAAATTATGAGAATGGCAGTGATATAGTGTTCTTTTTTTTTTTTTTCTGAGTTCTTGGGAAGATTTAATAACATATTGTTCCTGGCACATGGCAGGCACTCAGCATGCTGGTCCCTGTCTCTTCTCCCTTCCGCTCCATTCATCCTCAAAGCCTCCCCAATGGGGGCTGTGGTTCCAGGCCCGTGGCAGATGTTCACGTGTTTTCCGATAGGACTTGCAAAGGCACACCTAGCTAAAAAGCCTCCCTTGTCACCCTTGTACTTCCTGTGTGACCTCCAAGGGGGGCGTTAAAAATGGTGTCCACGAAGCTGGTCCAGCCAAGCCCCCGTGTGCCACTAACTGTTGGCTTCAAGAGGCTTTGACAGTGGAAGAGAAGAAGGCAGAGGACTGTCTGGATTGGTTTCTGCGATTTCCCTGAGCTCTAAACCTCTGCGATTCTAGGAACTGGCCCCTTTGGTTCTCATTACACTCATCCTAGCAGCATCCCAGTAACCAGCAGCTGGTAGGTGTTAGGGCTGATTCAGGGGAATACAGGAGCCTCTCTCACAATCTAAGGGGAACCTGGGCCCTACTGGGACAGTCAGCGGCCTGTCCACTGTTAGTTCTCCGTCTTTAGCTGATTCCTCCCTGTGTTCCCTCTTTGACAAGGGCCCTCTCTGACTCTCTCCATACACGGGTGACACCAGCATTATCATTAGTGAGGGGCAACCTAAGCTCAGAAATGTGGCACCTGAACATCTAAAAGGGGGTTAGGTAGGTTCCTCTCGGTGCTGAAGCTGGATCGTCTACATTTAATTAGGCAAGAAAGTAACCACACTGAGCTGAAGGCTTTGGGAGCCATAATTACAAAACACCCTTCCATTCTGTTCCTCTTCCCACATAATCATCTGCCCTTCAGTTAAATTTTCTTTTTTTGTTTTGAAACCTAAGACTACATCAGGAATGTTGCTCATGTTATTACACTTTCTAGGCTTTCTATGATTAAGTTTTTAACTTTTCTAAGATGTATTCCATTTAAAATTAATTCTTCATTCTCAAGATTCTGAAGATGACACCAACTATGTTTTCAGGTTCTGTTTTCATGGAAGTAGAACCCATGCTAGGTACCTGCATGGGGTAGCTTCCCTCTAAGGGAAATAACCAGACTAGCTGAGCAGCAGAAATCCATTTGTTATAGTCCGGGGAAAAAATCACAAAGAGTAGTCTGATCAATTGTATTTTTCTATTTAATCACCTGCTTTCCTCCTTGCCCAAGCCTGAAAGTCTGTCTTTAAAGCAGGCTCTAAGAGAGTTGTTATTATTTAAGATATGAAAGGGAAGGGCCCAAGGAAAAGGGATGACAATGGGCGGGAGACAGTCACAGACGAGAGTCCGTGGTGCTAGGCAGGGCAGAAACGAAACTCGTGAAAAAAACAATGACCTGGGGTTCCTTTCACTCACACCGACCAGTTGTGTCTTTGTACATAAGTGACATCGCAGAGAAAGACGCTCCTTTCTAAGGCCAGCCTTTTTCCTCGGTCTGTGAGGAGGCCCCGCATTTAAATTCAGGATCCTATTATTCTATCTTCCTACTTAGATGCTCACAAGTAGAATTTCATCTTTAAAACAGTCACAGGAATTTTAGTCGCTCTCTAGTCTTCCAAGAAAGCCATAAAATGAGCAATGCCAGTAACAATTAGGAAAGTAAATTGGCCTTATAAGAATAAAAAAATCAATTTTGCCAGTTTACATTCACAGTGGCTAATTTCCATATAAATGATCTGACTTCATTCCGTCTAAAAATGGGCCTGTCTTCTCTTTGTTGTTTGTTTGAAATATTTGCCATGTTGGGGATATACTTAGGTGGAACTGTTTGAAGGCTTGGTGGTATGTGTTGCATTTTCTAATTATAATTAACTTTGTTGTTGTTGTTTTTGGCAGTGTATCAGTTACAGCAAGAGGCCCCTCGTCCCAAGAGGATCATTTGTCCGGGGGAGGTCAGTACTCAGCTCTTTCCAATACACCTTGTTAAACATGATGAATTGTCACACTAGGTTGCTATTGGAGGGCTTTCGGGTTTCCTGGGAGTTGATTTCTATTAACGTTTGTTACAGTGTCACCACATTTAACATCTTAACCTATATTCTGAAGACAGGTGTTATTTTAAAAAGACTAACTCACTTGGTATCAAATGTCTCCTGTTTTTAACCATTGTAGAGGCAGCCTCCTTTGTAAACCCCCCAAAATATGGATTGTGGTTGTTTTCCTTGTTCCTGCTACTTTGATTGTTTTATCATTTTTTAAATTATGAATGCTTCCAGCACAGAAAAGACAGAGAATGATAAATCTCTGGGTACTCTCAACCCATATTTAGCAAAGCTTTATACTTTGTTATACTGACTTGACGTTTTGAAAAGATCTCTACAAGAAAAGTGACTGTGGTTTTATTCTTGGTGATAAGCTTGAACAATATGTTGACTCATAAAAATGCTGACCAGCCCCCAGAAGTCTCCCTGGGTCTCATTCACTAATCAGTCTCTTATCATCTGGGATGGCAGCAGGGTCTGAAAGGCAAGGCTCAGACTTTATTTTCTGTTTTCATACCGACCAGTTTCTTTAATAGCTAAACTAATATCCTTCAAACAAAGGCCATGGGTCCTTGCTTATTTTTATTATTGTGACTTTGATTAAATATAGAGCAGCAGATATCTTTAAAAGGGTCACATCCCTTATGCAGGGTTGGGTGGAGGGCTCCAATTCCAACACTCTTGAAATTCATTCTTGAACATCAGTTCTTGGCAGCAGACTGGCCCGATCTGGTTTTGAACCTGTCTCAGACTTAGGTACCCACACCCAGAGCCAAATTTCACTGGTTAATAAATGTTTCTACAGAAGATTTTACTTCTGTTGAAGGGCACTAAAATTCATTAGGTAGTCTGAATGTTAATGTAGAATAAACATTCTCATCTAACAAATACAGCGTGAGGGGAGAAAATATCTGACCCTTGAGAAAATCCTCAGAATGAAGTTGTATCTTTGTCTGGTAGTCTGACCCTGTCCTGTGACTCACCCTGCTGACTATTGGCCTTTGGTTATTCACTCATATCCAAATAAGAAAAGAAGAGGATAAACACAAAAGTTTTAATGAGATGCTTTAAATAGGGTATTTGGGGGGAGAATTAAGAAACAAGTTGTTGCCCTGGCCAGTTTGGCTCAGCGGTTAGAGCGTCGGCCTGCGGTCCAGAGAGACCCGGGTTCAGTTCCCGCTAAGGGCACATACTTCAGTTGCAGTTTGTCCCCGGCCCTGGTTGGTCGTGCGGGTGGCAGCCACTCGATGTGTCCCTTCACGTCGATGTTTCTCACTCTCTCTCTCCCTTCCTCTCTCTCCCTCCCACTCTATCTCTACAAAAAATGGAAAAATATCCTCGGGTGAGGATAAAAAAAAAAAAAAAAAAGAAACAAGTTGTTAAAAATGTCTTCAGTCCTACTTTACATTTAGTATTTCTCCATCAGAAAAAAATATAACCATGTGTAGGAACTCGAGGAGCTTAAACATCTCCCTGAAAAGAGTGTTTGTACATTTACTAGAGAGCTAAGGACTGTTCCTGGGAGTATAAATAAAACGTCCTCAGGCAAGTTGGGGTATTTACGAAATCCAGAGGGTAGCGTAAATGTGCATTTGTTCATTTATTCCACAGAGATGTATGGACAGCCTACTCTGTTCTGACTTTGATCTAGGTGCTGGGAATGCAGCAAAGACTTGGCTATCGGTACTCTGAGTGTTGTATCAAAAAGGAGTGTAATTGCAATGTGTGTAGTAAAGATATATTTAAGATTTTACCTCCGTGTGCGTGCGTGTGTGTGTGTGTGTGAGAGAGAGAGAGAGAGAGAGAGAGACGGGAGGAGGGAGAGAGAGGGAGAGAGCGATCACTTCCTCGTTTCTCAGAATCCTGGGAACCGTCAGTGGTCCTATGAGCAGGTGTGATGTTACAGTGGAGATGGGTGGGTTCAGACTAGCTTCACAGAAGCTCTTCCTCGGGTTCAGTGGAAACTTCAGACATCAGTGGGCTGAGGGTCCAGCTCGCCTCCCTTAGGGGATGCACTTGCGTTCGCAGGAAAGGCGACCGACGCCCAGCAGAGCCGAGCTGAGCGCCACAGCTAATGGACAAGGTGTGTGTGCAGCCTTTATATTCTCTTGTCTGCCTTTTAAACCCAGCTCTTCACCTTCTGACCTTTATCAGTGCTGTTCGTTAACTCGTTAGGCCTGGTTGATGCTGGATTCGTAGGTAGCTTGCCTCTCGCAACTCCATATCCTGTTTCTGCGAGGAATATCCTGTTTCTGCGAGGAAACCGACCCTGAAATGCGGATTCATCAGCTGCATTTCCTCGGCAGGCAGCAGGGGGCCCATCCAGCCAGGCTGGTGTCCTGTGATACAGGGTGGAGTGTTCTAGAACAGGCACGGCTTAGATGAGAGCCTGCAGGAGTGGCTTCACTTCCCTTTGTCCACCTGCACGACATTAACTGCACGCAATTCCTGCCCCGCGTGCTCGGCCTCCCAGGACGTGGCCCCCGTCCGGCCAAGGCATGACCTCCCCTTGCGCGTTGGTGAAACCATTGACCCTGCTGCAGCCGGGGTTTGAGCAAACGGCTCCCTGCCTGGTGACACACCTGCCTGCTCGGGGACGTGCCTAATGAAGACAGAAAGCCTTTCGGCTGGAGTGTGTGGCCAGAGACCGAAGCTTTATTAACACATTTCCATAAAGCCATAAAGGTTACTTCTTTCGAGCAACGAGTTAGGATTTTTCCATTTCTTTGCCATCTCACCCCTTAGCTAGCTATGAAGAGCCCAGGTTTTTCTCTCATCCACGGTCCTGCTCCCGCCTTCATCCTCAGCCCCTCTCCCGGCCCTGGCGAGCTGCCCAGCTCTGCCGCTCCAGCACACCCAGCCTCTCGCTTCTCTGCTCGCTAAGAACGTCTCTGGGTGGGATCCTCCCGGTGGACGTGAGAAATACCCACACTAGGGCCAACTGAGCCTGCAATCACAGAGATGTGGACACTGTCACTGCAGGGCACAGACACCAGCCAGCCTGACTTGAATGCTTGGTGGCTGTCAACAGCTACCAAGCGCCTAGTGGACTCCACTGGGGAACTAGGTGAGTCAGGGCACAGACTGATTCAGGAGGCAGAACCCAACGAGCTCCGCAGACCCAGGCAGGGGAGCCGCAGAGCCGGCAGGCCGTGTTCTGAATCCTTGCTCCAGCCGTTTCCAGGCCGCTGACTGGGAGCCAAGCACTTAGTGTCTCCAGGGGAGGAAGATCCACCCTGAGGGCAGACACTGAGTTTGGAGGGTGGCCTACATGGACTATAAGCATCGAGTGTCAGAATGACACCCGGCACCCAACAGGTCCTCAGTGCTCATGATTCATGGCAGTCAGAATTCAGACACCGTCATTAGGGACAGAGTCAGAGCAGTGACAGTATTTTCTGAACGTGACGGCAAAAAGGCAGTGACCAAGAACAAAGCAAGATGCCTGGGCCTGGCCTCCAGTCACCGGGAGAAAAGATGCTGAGGATGGGGAACAGCAGGTACACGCAGCTGGACACCAGCCCTGGTGCCAGTTCAGCAAGCTAGGGTCAGATCACTGCTTTCTTGAGATTCGTCGCTGAAAATTAACATCTATTGAGCATTCGGGGCACCTGGTACTCTCCTGGCGCTTCCCGAGTGCTCCCTGCCAAGAGATTCAGAACCTCTTCCCCTTTCATCAGTGAGCAGTCAGTCATTTCATAAGCATTTATCAATTACCACTGTGTGTCTGGGTGGTCTGCCAGGAACTCTGCAGAACATTGACTCCCAAGTTGATATCTCTACCTAAGACCTCTCCCCTGGGCTCGGGCACCTACTCCTTCTGTCTACCTGACCTCGTCATGGAGCTGCCCCCAGGCCGTCGCTAGCCTGATGTTCAGCATAGAACAGGACCTACCCCATTAAATGGCTCCTAACTTCAGAACCCTCCCCCTCCCCCTTTTCTCTTAGCAGTCATCAGATTTGCCTCCAGGTAGTTCTTGCGTTGGCCACTCTTCTCCATCTGTGACTGTCCTGTGGTTTGGGCCATTATTGTTTCTGGCCTGGATTATTGCAGGTCAGCAGTCTCTTGCCTTATCTCTCTGCTTTGACTCTTAGTACTTTCCCTGTAGCCCACATATACCAAGCAGGAGCCCAAATCATCATTATTAAATATAAGTCCAACCGTTTCTCTAAAAAGCAGTTGCCATTGCTCTTTAAACAAAAGCAAGGCTTCATGCGGTACCCGTGAGCCGCCGTGAGCTCCCGCCTTTGTCACTGCTGCGTCTGTTCCGTTCTTCTAATGTGCTGCCTGCCAGACCCACTAGCTTGGCTCTTACTCATCAAACAAACCACAGTGCTGCTACCTCAGGGCCTTTGCATTTGCTCTTGGCCTGGAATTCCGTTGCCCAGTTTTCTGCCTGTCCAAATTTCGTATCAAATTCCACCTAAGAACAGAAGCCCTGCCCAGACTCCAGAAAAGTTAACATACAGATCTCCTTTGTCACATCGTCCTGCGTATTTTTCTTATACTACTTAATACACTTTCTAATATACTTTCTTGCCATATTTCATCGTTTACTTGTTGCTTGTACGTCTCCCTTCAGGAGAATACAAGCTCCAGAGTCTTCATCATTCCTAATCACAGGTACTTCCTTCCCTCGTACTGAGCACAGTGCCAGGCAGCAGTGCGCAATCCGCGTGGTAAAATTATATGGAAATATGAAGGAAAAAAAGGATAGAGACCGCTAACATCCAAAATTTAGAATTCTCAAACCATTACAATAACAGATCAGATGGACTCAATGCTGTTATTGGGCGAGTGAATTGGGCTTTGGGCAGATAAACTTTTTACTTAAACACAGACTCATACTTTTCCCTGGAATATTCCAGATTTCTGTTTGGCCTTTTGGGGAGGCCAAATGTCAAGATTC